CACTCTACGAGCGTCCTCGTAGTCCAAACCGAGCATCCTCGGATTCTATGCCTTTTCCAGCACACGAGCATCCTCGTGTACCGCCGAGCGTCCTCGGTATTCTTGACTCCCGCATACGAGTATATTCGTATACCCGCCGAGCGTACTTGGCTCCTCTAGGCCACCGAACTTCGTATTGCGGGCATTCCCGCGTACCTAGCCAGGTCGCCGTTCTAAACTCCGCCTTCATACGAGCGTCCTCGTACTCCCGCCGAGCGTAATCGGCAGCCTAAGTTCTTATATCGCGTTTATCCGCCGGGATTTCGAACCGTAATCCGTCCGGCAGGCAAAACCGCATCGACCAATCCGCGCCGCCGAATAGTCCGCATCGATCTACGATCGAACAGACTCGCGATACTCTACGAACACACTCACCGACAAGCGCTCCGTCTTGTACCAACCGTTGCGACACGATCGCCCGCGCTTGCGCTCTCGCCAACCGCACCAGGACGCCTTACGTCATACTTTATAATTTCGCGTAAATAATTATTCCACCGTTACCTAAAGAATTATTTCACCGTCGCCTTTACATTTATTTCACGCTGTTTAAATAATTCTTTCGCCGTCACTCTCGATTTATTTTACCGTCGTCTTTATATTTATTTTCACGCTGCTTGTATACTCATTTCACGCCGCTTCAAGAATTATTTCGCCGTTGCCAAATAATTATTTCACCGTGGTTACTCTACCGATCGCAACGATATTCTGTTACCTATTTCACCGTTGCCATACTGATTTCACCGATATATACTTTTATATTTATTCCGCTGCTCAAATAATTATTCAGCCGTTGCTTAATAATCATTTCACCGTCGCTATACAGTATATTCTTTTACATCGCATGTACACACACAGTCATCAAACATACTTAATTGAATAAACACGCCTTCTGATTTATCATTAACCAAACGAATATTTTCTTTGACACCCCCCCAACCGTCCGAACCTGGATTCCGACGAGCTATACCGCGCTCGAAAAGCTCACACGGTTTCAATGGTAATATTGTTTAGACGTGTCTATGACAATTTGTAAATAAACTGTGAGATATCAGATTTTCGGGAGCTGTCTGCTCGAGCGGACGTATTCGACAGCTCCGATCTTTCTACTTGTTCCCGGTTACTCGTTGTATTCATTCAAGTTATTGTTCTTACTAAAGTGTGTTCTTTTACTCAAATAAAGTGTTTCTTTATTCTGCGAGTTCCGTTTGACGTATGCGATACCTAGTTCCGTGGACGCAACAATATAAATGTATTTTTTTCTTTTCTTTATCGTCTAGGGTCGACTGAGGACTCCAGCTAAAGCAGAGTTTTGATTTTACGATTTTCTTGGCGCCAATAGACGCGCTGGTTGATCAAGACTGTTTAGAATATCGATGCCATTAGCTGCTTTATTTTTTTTTCGTGAGAAAACTCGAACTCGCTAGGTCTCGTAAGAAAAGCAGCTCCGGCGGTAAAATTTCTTTTTTTTTTCTTTATTTGGTCTGTGCCGTGTTTACTAGGTCTAGTGTTCAGTATTGTAGCTTGTTTGAAAAGAAAAGAATCGTGAAGTCTGATCAGGACGTAACATATTGTATATTATATTATAACTATAATTATTATAAATTTTCTTTATAACTTCTATTAGAATAAAAAAATTGTGTTAAAACAGCACAGTTTTAAAAAACATCAATTTTTTATAAAAAATTTTGACTTATAAATTATGAATGGCAATTATAAACGAATAAAGTTAATCCAAGATGCCACATTAATTCCAGTACAGGTTATACCTTTTTTAAAAAAAGGTAAAAAAAAGGCGCCAAGTACACGCTCTTGTCACAACTAAAACAAAACCATATTGTTTTATCCTATTAAAAAAATTGTCGTATATATTAAACCTTTCAAAAAAACCTGTCATAGATATTAAAACCTTTCAAAAAAAACTTGTATATAGTAAAATTTTTAAAAAAGCTATTATATATACTTTCTACAAAAAAATATGATATCAGGAAATGGCACTAAGTGGGACTAAAGAACTATGAAAAAAGTTGTACACTATTTCTATAAAACTCTTCTATAAAAATCTTGTACATAAAGCTGTCGTATATATAATTAACTATATTATATACTATATATATTATAAAAAATAAATACATAAATAAGAAAACAAAAAATTAAATTAAAAATTTTTTAAAATATTTAAAAATAAAATATTTAATTAAAAAATAGAAAAAATAATAAAAATTTAAATACAAAATAAAAAG